AGCTTTAAAACCTCTATTAAAATAAATATTACATTATTAGAGACATTGTGTAATTATAAAATTCTGGTGATCACTAGCAGGGGAGTGTACAAGCAGTCTCTCAAACTCAAACTGCCAAGGATTAATAACCTGCCAAATCCAATAAAAAATTAATCCACCAGTTCATAAATCTAGTAGTTTAAATGTTTTAAACCTGATGACCTAATAATACTGATACATTTGTCTACCATGCATATCAGTTTTGATAGATTCAACAGTATTATAAAAGGTCAAAATTTTTCTATTCTTTTAAATTTCATGATATGAAAGTTTTGGTCAATTATTGATTTATCATAAATTTTAACAAAATACTGTTGAACCTTTCAAACATAATCCTGTTAAAATCAATAACTTGTAAATCTGATAGAAATTAATCCACCAGGTTCGCTTTCTCTATATAAACCTAATACTTTTGAACTTCTCAAAACCGATATGCACAGTAGATAGTATCAGTATTATGAGGTCATTAGGTTTGAAACATTTAAACTACTAGATTTATGAACTTGGTGGATTAATTTTTTATCGGATTTGACAGGTTATCAATTTTGGCAGGTTTGTGAACTTGGATTAATTTTTTATCGAATTTGACAGGTATCGGTTTGGGTTTGAGAGGTTCAACACTGCTTGTGCAATAAAGCTTTCTTTGTAATTGTGATATGCTTACGTATGCATCTACTCATCAGTATGTCATATACCGGTAATAGGTAGGTACAAAATCACATGAATGGTAGGTATCCGGCAGAAATTCTACGGACAGAGCTTAGGGACAGAGCAGAATCACGTGATACTATAAAACCTGCTCTGTCCCTGCTCTGTCCCTAACCGCTAATTAACTAATCACATAATTCTGCTCTGTCCCTAAGCTCTGTCTGTAGAATATTCGGGTGTCCGGAGGCTTTCCCATGCCAGACACCTTAATTGTCACATGCTGTTCAGCCAATCAAATCGTAAGATTTAAAAGAATAAAAAATACGAAAAAGAACGAAATTCAAAGCAAAATTGAAACCCCAATGAATTTAAAATAATTATAAATAAGTGATGAAACATGCCATTATCTGTTTATTTATTAATTAATTGGCGAACTAACATCTAATATCTATAGGAACTTAGATAATCGTTCATAATCTAGAACCTAGACGTCTTTACACAATCTCTCTAATAATGTAATATTTATTTTAATAGAGGTTTTAAAGCTTTATACACATCGCAACTTAATCACTCTTCATATTCGTCTCCCACATCTTTTATCCTGTTAAAAAATTGTACAAAAATAAAAATATATATAGTTAGTTTACTGTGTTCCATATCGTTATATATTATTATATATTCGCTTTAAGCTTTCAAATATCTTTTTTACAAGTGTATAAAAATTATATAAACTAACGCTCAAACCTACGTTACCTTTGCTGAATCATTGCCTTAAACGTTTTTCTGGTTTTTATTGCTCAACGTCTAGAATTTGTAGTTCGGTGTTTTATAAATTACTTATTTGCATATACATCTTTATGGCGAAGATCTATATATAAAGTTGTGGGATTCACTGGGATTCAACTGATATTCTTAAACTACTGTACGAAAGCTTCAAGTTTACAAACGTGAGCACTTTGAAAATGTACTCTAAAACGCGTTTATTTTTGGTGCACCCCGGGGTTCGATAGGCTATAATCACGTGATCGATGCAATAAGCTGTTACCAAGCGCACCGAAAATGTGTACAAGGTTGGCGGCGCAGCTCTCCTGTACTACGAATCAGATTTCAAAATTAGTAAGATTCAAAACAAACGTCCGTTTTGCCAAACATCGCTCATATCTCAAAAATCAGCATAAGAAACAGCCATTTGTGCTCTAAAAAAAGTTTTCGTTGGGCAATTTTACCAGATAAACTACCCATCTCTAGATCCTAACACTGCCCTAACCCTAACCTTAACGAATTTTAAGAATTTTGTCTGCGCCGCAACCTTGTCGGTATGCGTTAAATCGGGTTGCACGATCAAAAGTGAGGAACAATTATGAGTTGGATATTGATTTTATTATATTCGTTATTACTAACATGCACAAGGCACACACAAGGCACCAATTCACCAATTAACCTTAAATTACATTAAATCGATGGGTTTATATACATTTCAGATTATATTGGGGCTTTGCTATACGATTAGAATCCTTCAAGCAATATTGTTATTTCAAAGGAATTCTATGACTAACGATGAGTAATTCATATTCATTTATATGACTATGATTTTAGTTCCAACATCCGAAAGCCTAATTCCAAGACAAACGAAACCGCCTAAATAAAAAAAATGGGAGTTAGTTGAACACGAAAAAAAACCGAACATAACACCAAACCGAAGGTTGAACACGAAGAAAACAAAAACCGAAGGCTAATCCAGAAGACAAGCGAAGCCTACCATAAAAAAACAAGTGAACGTTAGTTGTACACGAAGAAAACAAGAACACCAAAACAGGAAGGCTAATTCCAAGAAGACAAGCGCAACCAACCTAAAAAAAGAAATGTGCGTTAGTTGAACAACGCCTAAAACAGAAAATCTAGCTCCAAGACAAGCGAAGCCCACCTGAAGGTTGAACACGAAGAAAACAAAAACCGAAGGCTAATTCAGAAGACAAGCGAAGCCTACCTTAAAAAACAAGTGGACGTTAGTTGTACACGAAGAAAACAAGAGCACCAAAATAGGAAGGCTAATTCCAAGAAGACAAGCGAAGCCCACCTAAAAAAAAAAAAAGACGTTAGTTGAACTTGAACAACGCCTAAAACAAAAAAGCTAGTTCCAAGAATACAAGCGAAACCCACCTGAAAGTTGAACTCGAAGAAAGCAAAAACCGAAGGCTAATTAATTCCAGAAGACAAGCGAAGCCTACCTTAAAAAACAAGTAAACGTTAATTGCATACGAAAAAAACAAGATCACCAAAACAGAAAGGCTTATTTCAAGATAACAAGCGAAGCCCACCTGAAGAAAACAAAAACAACTCCAAAACCAAGGTTAATTCCAGGAAGACAAGCGAAACTTGTTTGAAAAAAGTTAAATACGAAAAAAGAAAAACACCTAAAACCGAAAAACCAATTCAAAGAAGACAAGCGAAACCCACTGAAGTTTGAATACGAAGCAATAGCGAGCTATTCCAAGAAAACAAGCGAATGTGCGTAACACCTTAAAAGGCAAGCGAACTAAATCTTAACGTTACTGTAGATAATCAATAATCCTTAATGACGATCACTGTTTATATATTCCCGTGACCAGTAAATCTATTGGTCCCCTCTGTTGTTTTGATAAATGTAGATCACAACAAGATCATATGATTTATCAAATTTTGACCATATAAAAACACCCCATATTAACATTACCGATTTTATAAACTTTCCTTTTGTCCCCTTATAAATTTACCCTTTCTCGCAAACGCAGGACTACGTGTCTATACAACTTGCAGGCAGTTCGTCATTTGGAGCCTCCCATTTGACCCGCTGTCCGTATACATGGGGGTCGAAATTAGGGATGATTTTCGACAGACGGTCTGGCGAAATTTTTTGGGTATTTTCGCCATGAT